AAGAATGCTGTATTGCGAATCAGTATATTTATATATTTTTTAATTATGTTCTGAAATATGTATAAAAAGATTGACTTTCCGACCTTCTGAATTTCTAATAAAAGATCAATATACAAATCAATAATAAACCTATTTTACACTTGTAAAATTTATAAAATTAAAAATTAAAACTATAATTATGGATATAGAAAAAACATCTAGTAAATTTGGAAGCAAAAAAGGAAGAAAATTAGTTACTCTTACCAATGTTCAAAAAAAAAGAATTATGTGAATATAACATCAACAATCCAACAAAAACATATGAAGAAATTGGCAAAAAATTTGGTATTGGTAAGTAAACTGTAGGAGATGTTCTTGGAGAAAAAGAGAAATAGCTTGCAATTACTGAAAGTTCAATTGATGCCAATAAAAAACACAGTCATGGAGGTGATTGGCCACAGTTAGAAGAAGCATTGGCAATTTGGGTGAATCTTGCCAATGAGGCTAACCATACAATAACTGGTGCAATCTTGAGTCAAAAGGCAACACAGTTTGCTCAAAGGCCAAATATTTCCGATTTTAAATCATCACAAGAAAGTATAAATTTTTTTGAATGTAATATGTAGTTGTGTAGTTGCATCATAGTAAAATTCGTGTCATGTACACTCTACCCTTAAAATAATAGATATTTAAATAAGTAACTAGTTATTGGAGTGGATAATTTTTTTGTTGTTGAACACTAAAATTAATAATTAATAATTAAATTTCATCGGCTCATTGCTAATATAAATAATCCTATATATTTATTTTTTTTAAAAAATTTCCCATTTTTTAAATGTTGCTTCTGATATTGCACCTTCTTTTAAACCAATTACTACTATATTACAATGGAAATTAGAAAGATTAGGCGATTTATATAAAACAATGTCACTTAAAACAAGACCACCTGTCAAGTAGGTGAAGAGCATCCTGTTGTTGTTTTATGACCCTATTATACATTAATTTATATATTTCCAATTCTGAAAAGCCTTTTTCATTTACATTTTTGTTTTTTGCTTGACAGAATACATTTATGATATTATCTCTTGTAGCCTCCTTTTCTTTTCTCTTCAAATGTTTAATTACTGCATCTACAACCTTTATCATTCTCACTACATCAATGCTAATATCACATAAAATAGGTTTTTCCTTAGTATGCCTGATGTAGTTGTCACATATTTTACATTGAGGAAGTGGTTGGTCATTTGGCCATGGGTAATAACTAGATAACATCATTTGGCGACAGGTATAATGCTCTTCACAATAATAGATCATTTTAAATATTTCTTTTTGCTTATTTAGCAAGTAGTTAATATGGTCTGCTTCTCTGGATTCATCAAAATTAGGACAGAAATTACTGGCCTCCTCCATATTTTGTTGATTTTTAATAGAACTACAAAAAATTGAGAATAAATATCACCTTTCTCTTCCCCCAGTAACAATAGAGTATATAAATTGTATGTCATTTCTTGAGAAAAACAAAACACTTTTTGATTGGATTTTATCTCTTCCTGCACAACTAATTTATTGTATCAAGTTTCCTATTTGAAAAATAATTATTGATAAATATTAATGATTTTATTCATATATGTTTTCAAATGATTTTTAATTACCCACGCTCAGAGGAAAGGTGTTATGAATTACAAGCCAAATGTCAGGTGTATTTATTCCCATTCCAAAAGCATTTGTTGCAATCATAAGTTGGATTTGGTCATTTTTCCACTTTTGAATTGTTTGACATTTTTGCAAACCATCTAATTCTCCATGATAAGTATCAATATTATATTTAGTGTCAATCCTACTATTCAATTGTTCTAACATCTCTTCACAATTTTTAACAGTTGCACAATATATTATAATTTTTCCTTCTTGGTTTTCATTAATTAGTTTAACTATACCACCAATAATCTTTTCCTTAGCTCCTTTTGAACAGACTTCTATTCTAATTTCTGGACGTGAAAAAGAAGAGCTTCTTATAATATTAAGATTTTCTGGTTTTATATTAATTTGTGATATGTGAAACAACTGCAATAATTTCATAATAGAATTTGGCGCAAATTTTCACAGATCACTAATTGAAATTTTCCGGAACCCATACTTCATTCCTAAAAAACTACTATTT